TTCCAGCGATTCTGCCATAAGGACTATATCGTCGGCAAATCGAAGGTGAGTGATGTACTCGCCATTGATGTTAATACCGTATTGTTTCTAGTCCAGAAGCTTGAAAACGTCTTCCAATGCAGCGGTGAAAAGTTTCGTGGATATAACGTCACCCTGTCTTACACCTCTCTGCAATTGGATAGGTTTCGGTACTCTGGTTCTGTACTCGGATAGCCATCGCAGCTCTACTGTACAAGCACTTCAGCACTTCGATATACCGACAGTCAAATTGGCATCGCTAAAGGGACTGCAGCACCGCCCAAATTTCGACGGATTCAAAGGCTTTCTCATAGTCCACATACGCCAGGCATAGTGGCAAATTGTACTCCTCGGACTTCTGTACAACTTGCCGAAGGGTATGTATGTGGTCTATGGTGCTAAAGCCCTTTCGGAAACCGACTTGTTCGGGAGGCTGGAAGTTGTCAAGTCTGCGCGCGAGACGATTCGTAATGACTCTCGAAAACAGCACGTAGACGCGGCTCAGAAGGGAAATCGGTCTGTAGTTCTTCAAGAGAGCATTGTCACCTTTCTTGAAGAACAAGACCATGGAGGACGGAATTAAAGAGCCTCTGAAGGACTTCAAGTACCGGTCTACCACCCGCTTTCAGAAACTCCGCTGTAATTCCATCCTCACCTGGGGCCTTGCTGTTTTTAAGGTGCTGGAGAGCCATTCTAATGTCGCTCAGACTGAAGTCCGGGATATCTTCGGAATAGTGTCGGATAAGACTCGCTCTTGGATCGTTACTCACACTTGCGTGTGCTCCAACGATGACGTGTACAGCTGCTCATAAAACCTCTCAATCTCACTCAAAATCTCAGGTGCCCCGGAAACGATGCTGCCACATTCGGTCTTCAGCTTTGACAGTTGGCTCTTTCTGGCAGACAGATCTCTGGCAAAGACTTTGGAGCCTTGGTTCCGCTCGATCACTTGTTCAATACAAGCTGTATTGAAGTTGCGTAAGTCCCGCCGCATGCATTTGGAGATCTGTCTCTTCAGTTGCCTGTACGCTGTCAAATCTGTTGAAGAATGTAGCTTCGTCTCCCGTCTAACAACCATGAAAACTTAGCTCCGACCGCATGGACAGATTCCACGAGCTTTTCATTCATATCGTCCACTTCATTGCAGTCTTCTAGGCACTGAAAACGGTTTTGTAACTCGAGCTGAAAGGTTTCAGGACTTTGGAACAGAGCACGAGAAGGACGGAGCGTTGACTTCATTAGAAGAGACCTCTCCAACTTAATGTTTAGGTTCAGTGTGCCTCTTACCATTTGGTGATCGCTACCAGTTTTCACCCTCGCGCTCACGGAGACATAACTGAACAGTTGTCGTCTGGTTGTCATAATGAAGTCAATCTCATTTTTTGTCGAACCGTCGGGGCCTGACCAGGTCCACTTCCTGTGGGGCCGCTTCTAGAAGAAAGAGTTCATCATAAAGAGTCGCTCTTTATATCTTCATAAGAAGTCGGCCAGCTACTGGCCCCTTGGGTTCCGTTGCCCTATTCCAAATTTCCCTACTTTCAGCTCAACGTTCTCTCTTGTGCCTAGTTTTGCATTGAAGTCTCCCATTAACACCGTATATTGGGTTTTGGAGGAATGCATGGCTCTAGAGATATCCTTATACATTTCCTCCACCTCCTCATCGGGGTGTGCCGAGGTTGGTGCGTAAACCTGTATGACCTTCAGCGAATACCGTTTGGTGATTCTGAGTATAAGGTACGCAACCCTCGTCGACACACTCTCAATCTTTACAACGTTGTTAAGGAGAGACTTTTGGACGATAAATCCGACACATCCTTAGGACAGATGGTCGCCCTCCCGGTGATAGAGCAAGTTGCCGGATTCGAGGATTACCGTGTCCTCCCCCTCTTTTCGGACTTCGAATAATCCTAGAGTATGCCAGCGTAACTTGTCTATCTCTTCTTCCAGCTCCACAATCTTCTCGTCAGTCCTCAGGGTGTGTGCGTTGTATGTTGCCAGGTCGAGTCGTCTTAGGTGGCAACCGGACCTCCACCGGAGATTCTTAGCACCCCCTGCCCCGCCGTTACCATGGTCGCCACCGTAGCCAGGAATAGCGGGGCCGCCGGGGACTGGGGGCCGTATCTTTGTTACATTCATAGGGGGGTATTTGCCATAGTTGTCACGCTTGGCGAGCGGGTTGGCAACCGCAGTTTTTTTTAATGTATTTTTGCTGTTATCAGGAAGATGCTGCTGCCCATCTCCTGCCTGTTTCCCTTTGTCGCCTTTTACGACACCCACGGGAAGATATGGGGTAGTGGATATTCTTAACCGCCACTACACGGCAAAAAAAATAGAACCCATTTAAATTAATATAAAAAAATATAATATGATATAATATATTCATATAATAAGAATTTATATATAATATATTCAAGGAACATTAACGCCAACTTTAACGCCGTTCAACGGCATTGAAATTGAAATGACGTTGACCGTTCAAGTGTGGCCACTCACTTTATCACATTAAAATTAAGGCAATAATTGTTGCATTTACGGGCATTGACGTTTCTCGTTACTGTGGCCCCAGCATTACAAAGGCTACTTGTCGCGCGGGCTAAGAAATCAGAACGCGCGAATAGGCTATTGCGGATGGTTTTGTCTCAACACGCGCCCTATAAAATTATTTTCGATAGCATATAGCTGATGTTATAAGGAGTAACTTTTATAATAAAAAAATAATCAGGGTTCCGCGCAAAAATATTAAAATATGTCGTAACAAATTGTAATATATTCCACGCGGGCAAAGCCGCGGGAGCAACTAGTATTGTCATATAATAAATAAATGTATCAATAAAAAAATATGACTTAGTCACAAGCTTTATATCTTATACTAGCTGTACCTCGCGACTTCGCCCGCGTGTATTTTGGTTTTAATATTTTGCGCGGAACCCTAAATCGTTTTCTAAAATAAAAGTAGCCTAAGTTACTTCTTATAATATTAGCTATCTGTCAGTGAAAGTCCCCTCAACATCGTTCTAGCCGTTTCGGAGATTAGCCGGAATAAACAGACAGAGAGACAAAAATTTAAAAAATTGTGTTTTTGTTATAAGCACTGTATAATATACTTTCATATGCATTTAGTAAAAAGCTGTTATTTTGACATTACGAACAGACACTTGAATTTCATTTATTTGTATAGATAGAACAAAAATCATTATATAAAGTATAGTTTCAAGACACTCTCCTTGTTGCCTCAGCCAGTATCGGAATCCTCGGCGTCGACATATCGAGTGACGTGCAGTTTCGTGGTCACTTGAAAGAGAACGCCAAATTGGCGTTCTCTTCTAAAAAGCTTGGCGTGCTCAGCAATGCGGGACAGTATTTCATACCGGCACAACGCCTGCAACTTTACAAGGCACAGGTTCGGCCTCACATGGAATACTGTTCCCATCTCTGGGCTGGGGCTCCCCAGTGCCAGCTCCTTCCACTTGATCGCATCCAACACAGAGCGGCTCGAATCGTCGACGATCGAGTCCTTTCCGATCGGCTCGATTCATTGGCGCTGCGAAGAGATGTTGTATCTCTTTGCATTTTCTTTCGCATTTACCACGGAGAGTGCTCTGAGGAATTGTTCGGATTTATCCCAGCCGCCAAATTTCACGAACGCACATCGCGACAGAACTCCAGATACCATCCGCACCATCTGCATGATTGGCGGTCCACCACTGTGCGATTTAGAAGATGTGTTTCTTCCTCGCACAACTTCCTTGTGGAATAGTTTACTACCAACGATTTTCCGGACCGATACAACTTAGGGACCTTCAAGAAAAGAGAGCCTACTCCTTTTTAAAAGGCGGGCAACGCATCTGCAATTCCCCTCGTGTTGCGGTTGTTCGTGGGCGGCGGTAGTCACTTACCATCAGGTGAGCCGCATGCTCGTTTGTCCCCTCTCCTATAAAAGAAAATAAAAAAAACATCGACTCAGTCGCGCAACTAGATTATGTTTAGTAAGTATTAAGCATTGCGGCTGCAAATTGTTTTATTGTACGCATAGAATGACATGACAGAGGGGAACGCCTGCGTACGACTACTCCCCGATCTGCCGATGGCCCATGTTTCTTTATGTATCAGTATCAGCATAGAGGGAATCCTAAACTAAAAACGAAATTCTTCTAGTTGCACTCTTTATGCGAAATGAGCAAAGCCTAAATCACGCTATCAAAGTTTCCGAACTACTCCAATACGTATACAATAGCTTTATATTACCACAAGGAGCCCTGGCCGCTGCTCAAACTGAAAACCTTGCTTGGTGGAAGATCTCCCCTATTCCTTCCACGTCCAAATACTAATTCGATTTTTGATTTGAAATTTGTAACCAATCGTTTTTGTTAAGCACAAATAACAATATGATAGCTATTTTATGTTAATTTAATGTCAGTTACATGCTTCATTGGTTCTTTGCTGATCATTGGGTTAGCAAATTTAAGATATCTTTTTTCACATGAATGGATAGCTGTAGTTGAGGATCACTCTTTAGTTTCTGCAAACCGACACCGGAAAACCTGAACATAAATAGGTGTTATGCAGTGAGTTTGGTAAGTTATAGTTTGGTGTATGATAATCTTGATTTAACTATTTTTCCATAATTGTAGCAAAACCGATCCGGATTCATTTAATAATCTAAACAACATAGTGTTTTTCCTTTTCGCGATTTTTACAAAAAAATGTTATTTATCTGAAATCTATGACGTTCCTAGGGAAAGTAAAAAGAACGTACTTTTTATTTTTAGTACATAATTCCTTCGGTAAATATATGTAATAATAAATAATTGAGTACTAGTTGTCTGTGAAGATGTTATCAATACTATCTATTAAGTATATTTTAGGTAACAATATCGCGCAATATCTTTGACTAGTATAGAATTATCTGTGTCGCGCAAAATGAATTCACCAATGATGAGAATACACGAAATCCATTGACAACTCTAGAACTTTGTGGTGGTAGTTTAACCTTTTTCCAGTAAAGTTGACGTGTTTGGAAGGTTTTATTTCATTCATTTTTCAGATCAATTAGTGCTCCATATCTAGCGTTATTAATCTTTTGATAAATATATAAAAGCGTTAAATTAACGACCATGTTTTACTCGTACACTCTTGGTATGTTTTAATAACAGAAATTATAGCATAAAATTCCGCTTCACGGTACTTAAGTCCATTTAACCGGCATTTGCTATAAAATTATGGTTTTTACAGGTATTTTATTGTTCGTCGCGGGATCTTATGCTTTGTATGATTCATCGTCTGATGTGGTAGAACTAACTCCGAGTAATTTCGATAGACTCGTCACAAAATCTGATGAAGTGTGGATAGTTGAATTTTTCGCTCCATGGTGTGGGCACTGTAAAAACCTGGTTCCTGAATATAAAAAGGCTGCTCGAGCATTAAAGGTAAATTATAAATCACTTTGCATCTAAAACAAACTTTTTGTGCTACCTCATTAATTATAGAATGTAATAAACTAAATAATACATTTTATATATTATTTTTAGGGCATCATAAAAGTTGGAGCAATAGATGCAGATCAATACAAAGAGTTTGCTCAGAAGTATGGAGTCACAGGATTCCCAACTATCAAGGTGTTTACTGGTAGCAAGCATACACCGTACCAAGGACAAAGAACTGCAGAAGCTTTTGTAGATGCAGGTATTAAGGCAGCTAAAGAAAAAGCTTATGATAACCTCGGAAAGAAATCTAGTGGATCATCATCTGATAAGGTAATAGACATTTTTTAATGTGTATGTGAATTACATAGAATGCTTTATAGTAAAATAGCAACATGCAGTCATGGAGTCAATTGATGCAGGTGCTTGGGCAGTACTATGAGGCAAGGTATGGGAGAGACCTATGTTTAGCAATTGACTTGTGGTAGGCTGTAATGACGATAAAGTGATTCTTACTAATTAATTTTCAATATTTAAAAAAAAATTGATGCTTCACTTTGCTGGCAGAAAATTTAATGTCCTTTCTCCCTTCACAACGAACACACAATATAGTTGAATACTTTAAGAAGTTACTATGTAACAAATGGTTTTTGTAATATATTGGTACCAGTATCATCCTTATTGATCGACTTTTGCCGAAATACTCAATAGCTACTCAATTTTACTCAAGTCTTGTGCCATCTCTATCACTAGTCAAAGTGACTATGACACCACTAGACAACAACATCTTAAAATTGAGTATCATTTGAGTATTCAACCATTTGAGTCTTGATAATTATCCTTAAGTAATAAAATGTTATAACTTTTTTATTGTAATTTATTAGTGGAGACTAAGAAACGGTTTATATGGTCACAACATACCATGGAAGTCAGTGAAAAGAATGTCTCCTTTAAAGCAAATTGATCAACCTAAATTGACATCCCCTCTGAGAAATAATAGAAATAAACGAAATAAACTTAAACAGCTGGAGAGTTATTTGTTTAGAAGAAAAATATTTGATGACGATCCACTGAAGATAATTCAACATAAATATAATAATATTAACAATTAATCTAATTTTATTTCTCTTTTCTGCATCATCTTTTATTATATAAAAATTAATATTTGTTTGTTTGTATTTTATGCCATACCATTCATGAGATTGCACTAAGTCAACTTATTGCTTGCACTGGCATGAAGGATAAAGGCATAGTACAATTAATTTATAGGTGTTGTGCATATCGTACCAACAATTTTATTTGAAAGTAATATATCATTCAATTTTAATGAATATATTATCATTCTTAAGTAAACAATAAAACCCTTCCAGATCTTAAATAATATTTCCACAATTATTTCTTCTGTGGCAGCAATGCACTGGTTACTAGTTAGTTATAAACAAACATTATTCAATTATACATTATAAAGTAAATATATGTACAACTGGCATCATTATCATTATTATATTGTAAAGAAAAATATATTAATTTCAGGCTTATATAAATTTATTAGTTGATAAAGCTTATTGTTCAAGGCGTATTGAAATTTTATCTTGTATTTTTCATTTTATGCATGTTTACATAATTTATATACACATAATACATATTTACTGTACATATATAAATGAAGTACCACTGACTGACATGAATGAAAAAAAAAACACTCATCACAAGATCTCTGAAACTATACATCCAATTGACTTGAAATTTAGTATAGTTACTCATTTCCAATGTAGACTCTCACTAAGAACGGATTTTACGATAATCCCATCAAAAATAAAATTTGTAGGTTCTGCAATAAAATATTATTGTGCGCCCAGCGAACCGATCAGCTATCAGCTATTGTGTTATATCAACACAGCTACCTTTAAGCAAGGGATAAGAGAGAGATCTGTCTACCAAAATAGTTTTCGATTAATAAATTCTAAAACTTTAAAACAATAAAAATACTAGTAACACTATTAACATTACCAATAACTTATTATCATCTTCAAATAAACTTGAATGTTTGTGTTAAAAGTAGTTCACAACAGTAGTAGAATAATAAATTTGAACCTATGTTGTATGTGTATATATAATGAATTTTATGACTGTCTGTATACTTGGGGAGTGCTTTTAGCCGGGATGGAAGATGTGATTTAGATGTGGACAGGCGTGTCGCTGCCGGGAACAAAGTCAATGGTGCCCTGACTGCGTTAGTCAAAAGGTAAGGCGTAGCGAAGAGTGCACGCCTTGCAATACATAACGCAGTGTTGGTACTGACTTTGTTATATAGCAGCGAAACCTGGGTATGCCAGAAGAAGCATAAAAGTAAGTTGAATACAGTGGAGATGCGATCTCTTCATAAAATGTGCGGCGTTACCATGGCCGACCGAAAGCGAAACAAAGAGATTCGCAATATGGCAGGTTTGAAAGATGACCTTATCACAAAAATTGATAAGGGTGTGCTTCGGTGGTTTGGGCACGTTGAGCGAATGAGTGAAGACCGAATGGTGAAGAAAATATATAGCGCGAAAGTTAATATTAAAAGGTGTCGAGGTAGACCGAGACTAACTTTCGAAGACCATGTGAGCAAATTGCTCGAAGAGGGTAGGGTCAAAAGTACTCGGATACCTAGACATGCATGCATGAAGAAGATAATGAATCTGAAAGACGCGAAAGAGGTTTGTAAAGATCGTGACACTTGGCGATCTGTTCTCTCTGGCTACCCCGTCAGGGATTGTGCGTGAAGATAAGTAAGTAAGTAAGTCTTAATGAGAGTTGGGGTAGCTCACAGGCTTAGCACTGGTTGTAAATTTCACAGTATGCGAGCATCCTAAGTTCGATCCCCACTGGTGCCGGTGAAATTGTTAATTTCTATTTTAAATGCTCATTTATCACCTGCCCGGTGCTAAAGGAATTATCATGAGGAAACCTGCATGTCCGAGAAATAAAAGTCCACCACCATACATTGGAGCAGCAAGGTGGACACTTCCTCATCCTAAAAACTAAAAATAAGAGGAGGTATTAGGAACACCTTGTTAGAGCGTACTACTAAAACAACAACTTTCTTGCTATTTGTTTCTTAAGCTTTTCCAGTTATTGGTTTAAAAGTGCTTCAAATTCTGTCATTACATACACCTTTTAAATTGACCTTATTGTGGCACATTAATTGAATATTAAATTAAGAATGTAAGAAATCTATGGATTAGCTAAACGTCATTATAATGGCGCGCCTACACATTTACTTTCACACTAACATATTCTTAAAACACCTACACTGTTGTGAGTTTTGACCTTATTAACCAGACCTTGTAGTCACACCTACATAAAAATATACCTACATAAAGATGGCATAATATGTCGGGTTGTCCTAGTAGCATATTTTATTCATTCAATAAATTAAAATGTAGTAAATTTTTTTAAACTATTAATATATTTGAATTTACATGGAAACCAATATGTTTTATTTAAAAGAAGAATAAATATAATTTTTCTGTATATTTTACACTTTTATACATACATGTTTACTATTTTAATACTATACTATTATGATGTAAAACTATAGATAAATATTACTTTTTCCCATTCAATAACATATGCTATTGTATATATTATATCCTATTTAGCAATTTAATTCTTTTTACAGTCAGATGTAATCACTCTTACGGATAGCAACTTCAAAGAGCTGGTGCTAGACAGTGAAGATCTTTGGTTAGTGGAGTTCTTTGCGCCCTGGTGTGGACATTGCAAGAATCTTGAGCCACACTGGGCCAAGGCTGCTACAGAACTTAAGGGCAAGGTATGTTTTACTTTAAAGCACAAATAATTGCAGGCAATTTTGTATAACATTTTTGTCATTGGCACACACGTGGCAATTGTAACTTTCTTTGCTGTAAGAATACATTTGTTTTTCAAACAGAATTTAGGGAATTGTTGCAAATATTTTTTGAGAGGAGCATTTGTCACGGAGAGTAAGTATGAAAAAAGTATTTAAGTATATGTATAAATAAAAATGTGAAAAAGTATTTAGGTGTATAAATACTGATAACTAGGTTATCACTAAATGTATTACCCCATACAGGAATTATTGGGTTTCAAATTAAACACAATCTTTATAAACCTTTATTAGAAATTTATCTCATTAAACTGTAGGAAAAATTACACAATTGTAATATGGTTATTAATTTTAAAATGCACAAAACTTGTTCAGTTGTGCTTGTAATAATTTGCTTATTGCAGCTTTGGAAATATATTAGTGAATCATTATTAAATAAATAAGTTTGTGTTGAAAAAACCTGTATAACTTGATCTATGTGATCATTATGTAGCAGTTTGTAAACTCATGATGTAAATTTAATTGATAATTTTCTTTTAAAAAGATTGCTTCCATCTGGTTGATAATTCACTGTGTGAGAGGTACGAAAGAGTAAATTTAATTGATTAAATATATTAATGAAAGTAGTTAAATGTCATAGCCAACTTGTTTACTTTTTTACTAATCACCTCTAATAAAAAATTGAGTGGATAAAAACAATAATTTTAACAACCAGCAACATGTAAATAATGATTTCTTATATTTCCACAAACCCTATACATTGAATAAAAGTATTTTTACGGATTTTATCGCGTTTAATTTACGTAGATTTGCATAGATCGAACCAAAAATTAATAACAAAAAAAAACAAATATTAATATTCAAAAACTGAAGGTAGCCTGGCTAACTACGACAGCGGGACGTCAAATATCTCAGTCCCCCCGTGATCATGGGTTGCTATAAAGCACGCAAAACGTCGGGAATTAAAATAAGTAAATTAAACGCGATAAAATCCGTAAAAATAATTTTATTCAATATCTAATTAATTTTTATTATGCTTATATATTTTATATATCAAAATATTTTTATTTTCAAAATCTTGTTAGGTTACTATTGATATTATTATTTTAATACTGTAACAACCTATCCAAAGACCACTGCAGAATGTATGCTTTACCCACTTATTGCCTCATAGTGGGGATATTTGCCACAGCTGCCACGCCTGACTGGTGGGTTGCCAAGTGCAGTTTTTTTATTATTTTGAGCTGTTATTAAGATGTGGTTGTCCATCTCCAATGATATGGGATTCTGTTGATGATATGGGAAACTTATTATATTGCAACAAGTCCATAAATAAACGAGCTTATTTAAAGACTATATGGTTTCCGGAATGGTAGATTTAAAGAAATATATTTCTCAAGCAAAACTTCCATTTCTTAAGCTGAAACTTGTGATGATTTGAAGCAGGTGTACATTTTTATTCTCAAAAATGAAATATATGGAATTGTTAGAGCGCATGGCAGTTTTCCAAAAAAGATAAAACAATATGAGTCAAAAGGGTGTAAACTTTCAAATATATGCTGCTCTGTGCAATAGTTGTATGTACATAGGACTTTGTACGGCATGATATATAAATAGTAATATTACACCAAAGTTGAACACACATGCTAATATTTTTTGACAGATTATTTGCCTTTGTTCCCACCATATTTACAGTATCAAATTTCACATACAGGTTAAATTAGGAGCTTTAGATGCAACAGTACACCAAGCAATGGCCTCCCGCTACCAAGTACAAGGTTATCCCACTATCAAGCTGTTCCCTGCTGGCAAGAAGACAAGTGATTCTGTAGAAGACTATAATGGCGGCAGAACTGCTAGCGATATTGTAGCGTGGGCTCTTGAGAAACTTGCTGAGAACATTGCCCCACCAGAAATTGTACAGGTAAGGTGTGCTTTACTTTCCATGTATTTTTTTATAGGATTAGGGTGACAAACAAGCACACAGTCCACCTGATGGTAAGTGGTTGCTGTGGCCCATAGACATCTACATCTATCCTCGATTACAAATCAAAATGCAAATGTGTTGACACTCGTGAGGACTAAGATGAAATGCCTCATTTCCAGAAAAAGGGGCCTCCAGTTCTCTACACTCACCATACGAAACAACTGTGTTAAGCTGCCATTTTACGCTGGCAGTCTGTGAGTGTGTGGTATTTCCCAGGTCGAGCTGACCCCTTCATGCTACAACTATACTAGTAATATAGCTACAGCATGGCTCTACCACGTAAAGTATGTATTTGATGAAACCTAATAATAACACATATTACAAATAAAAAAACAAAAAGCAATAAATGATAAAGCAATAAAAAATGGTATTTATGTTACTATTTTGTTTAAAATGTTATTGATTAAACTAAACAAATTAAAGAGTAAACAGTATTACTTGTAGGCTATGCTTACTCTTAGCGAAAAGATGATGGTCTCATGTTAAATAAGAAATATTGTAATTATACCATTGGAACTTAAATTATTGGCTTTATTTGTCCCCAATCAAATATTTAGTGGATAGTAAGAATCCATTACTACCTTGGAGTCTTATCGTGATATGTAGTGCCTTCTTACCTCTTTCTGTCAATGTACAGTACTGTACCCACTTTTGTATTCCTGTATAAAGGCTAATATAATTACAGGTGTGAGCCCTTCTATATTATTCCTCAGGATTGCAGATGTTCATTTAAATGATTACTGTATCATTTAAAATGAGTTGGACCTTGTTTCTTACAATAATATTATAAAGAATATATTTATTTTTAAAAAATTAAAAATTATGTAATTATTGCTGCTACTATCTCTTTTACTGTAAAAATAAACTATATGTCACATTAGGTTAGATTTGTTTCTTGATTTTTTAGATTGTTCTTCTCATATCAATGTTTAAATTTTAATAATTATCTTAACAATTTCACATTTTTGTAACTAGAAAAAATATAGCAATTTTATATTTATACTTATATTATTAACAAAATTGTCACTAATATTATATTGATTTGATTAAGTAAGGAAGTGAAATGATTTTCAAATCAAAAATTCCAATTTTACTCTGTTCACCATCTATAAAACCATGTGGTGAAATTTAATAAAAATTGAATTACCCATGCAGATTATTTGCTCGTAAAAAATATTACATTTGTAACATATAATACCAAATGGCTGTGATACAAACTGGTTGTATAGCATATTCATTACTACTCATACGCGATAACTGTAGACCCGCGTGGAATGTGATTCTCTGCCCGCTTCGCATTTTCCCTCGTCCGCCCTAGTTGTATATTGAACAACATTATTTTTATCGTGCGTCAGTGATATCACCGTACTCTGCCCCACTGAGTATGAGATATATCATATTGACCTTGTATGACAAAATATAGTTCCAATTACGTCCTTCTGAGACACTGGTCATATTTGCATACAATTTAAGTCGACGACGATAAGAAAACGTATCAAAACTTGTGATATTTGCACAAGTTTCAAGTTATTGTGATTTAGTGATAGGTGAAATGAAATGAAAGTTTGAAATGAAATAAAAGCCTAAAGCATAAGCCCTTTCCAATTATGGTAAATGTAAACATTTATCATGTAATTATTACAAGTAATAAAGAATAAAGCTGGTTCGAATTTTAACCCAGCAAAATTTTAAATATAGTTTGAGCATTCTATTAAAAAAATAAAATAGTATCACACAGCATCATAATTTTTAATTTTTGACCTAACCGGAAAAAGTAGCTTATATTCTTTCAATATTTGTCTCCAAAAGAATATATTACAAATATATATTTTTAAATGTGTGCAGGCTTATTTTTTATTGTGTGTGTGTGTGCGCGCGCGCGCGCGCGTGTGTGTGTGTGTGTGTGCGCGCGCGTGTGTGTGCGTGTACGCGCGTGCGTGCGTGTGTCTGTGTGTGTGTAACAATTAATTTAGTGTATGTCATTCCTTGTTCTTTCAATTTATATATTCAATTTTTATATGTATTTGTTTTTTACAGGTAGTAAATGAAGAAACAATGAAGGCCTGCAGTGAAAAACCTTTGTGTGTGGTATCAATTTTACCTCATATTTTGGACTGCAATGCCGCTTGCCGCAATGATTACATTTCCATATTGACTCGTCTAGGAGAAAAATACAAAAACAAGATGTGGGGGTAAGTTGATTAAATCTTTACAAATAATTTATCCTGAATAAGAAACCGAATATATCATTTGTTAATGTATCATGTTGTTAGTCATGTAGCAAGATTTCTCAAATTTTTACTCAACCCAATAAATAATAAACCACCACCATACCAAATAATAAATAGGTTATATGGGTTCCTTTTATGCATAGCAAGGTACTACTCACTTATATATTTCTATGGGCGTAGCTAACAGATATATGCAGGGTGGTCTCAGAAGGGCACAGATCCTATCCTGTTGTAACACTGCTATAAAGACTAGGAGCCCACAACTTTGAAGGGGACATGTAGAGATAAATTTTCAAGGGCCTTTCTGGTAAGCTCCTAGAAAATTAATTTAAAATTTAAACATTAACACAGTTAATGATCCAATTTCAGATGGGTATGGACTGAAGCAGGTGCACAGCCCGCGTTAGAAGAAGCCCTTGAGTTAGGAGGCTTCGGTTACCCTGCAATGGCGGTAGTTAATGCTAAGAAACTGAAATTCTCTACTCTTCGAGGCTCGTTCTCAGAATCTGGCATTAATGAATTCCTCAGGTATTTATTTCTTTGTATATTTATTATTATTTGAAATAACTGATAATTAAAATTTTATTGTTATTGATATATTTGACATGCTCACACCTGCTGAAATTAATAATATGAATAGATTAGAATAGAATGATTTTTATTTAATATAGACTAGCTGTTCCCCGCGACTTCGCCTGTGTGTAATTTAAGTTTTTAATTTTTACGCGGAACCCTAATTGTTTTTCTAAAATTAAAGTAGCCTAAGTTACTGCTTATAACATCAGCTGTCGGCCAGTGAAAGTACCGTCAAAATCGGTCCAGCAATTTCGGAGATTAGCCGGAACAAACAGACAGACAAACATTTTAAAAATTGTGTTTTTGTTATAAGTACCGTATATACTTTCATATGCAGTATATAAAAAGCTGTTATTTTGATATTACAAACAGACACTTCAATTTTATTTATTTGTATAGATTATTACACAATACTTATTGAAAGTAACTGTTGTATTTACCATTGTGTAATGTAGGAAAGGTATCAATGAGAAGAGATGTGTTGTTCTTGCTATGTCTTTAATTATAAACTTAACTCTAATATATACCTATTAGTCTGAGAGCTGGTGACAAATTATGAACATATGGTAATACTTTATAACCGACAAAAACTTAAAAATTAAATTAAAAGATAAAAAAGAAATCAAGTTGCTCAAAAACCATTTTTTTGAATATTTTTTTGCATATGGTATATGCTATGCGGTAACGAAATAACCGCAAACGCTCTTGACGAAATAATATTTTTTCACAATTTCAACTTGCCAAAAGGTCCTTCCCAAAATTCGTCACCAGCTCTCAGACTATTGTTATGGGGGCTACTAGTCACTACACCCCCCACTGACAAAAAAAAATTAAAAAGGAAATAATTATTGTGTAAAAAGAATGTAAATTATTAAAATCAATATAAAAATAATGACAACAATAAAAATAATACAACTACATATTGCTCGGAAAACATCTCTACTATGCTAATTAAATAAGAAGTTTTTGCCATCACATATGTCAGACATAACTGTCATGTTTCGCAGGTGGTTATACCATTGTTAAATTTGCTTAATTGATGCACTTACATATTTTTCTTCCATAGTAACGTTTTATGATGGTGTGACTAACTAGTAACTACTTTTATTTTTCCAACCATTTGCTTAGAATGATAAAACCTTTATCACTAGCTATTCAGAATAGGTTACAAAGATGGTCTTTATTACAGGGACCTTTCTTTCGGTCGTGGTCAAACAGCACCAGTTAAAGGTGCAGAAATGCCAAAGATCGTCACCACTGAACCTTGGGATGGCAAGGACGGTGAACTACCGCCTGAAGAAGATATCGACCTGTCCGATGTCGATCTCGAGAAAGATGAATTATAAGTAAAGAAGAGTACGTGTACTTAATCTAAGACTGCTGCTGGAGTGTTGTGCGTCGCTAATATTCTGTGGTCGCTAAACACAGTTCCAAGATGATATACTATTTGAACATGATGATAATAATATAATTTGTCAGATAATGTCAAACATCACTATAGTTATAAGTTACAAATAGTCCAATGCTTTCAATTAATTTTGTCCCCACTTAATTTTATAAAATACTAGCGATCCGCCCCGTCTTCGCACGGGTGATTTCTGTATCTCGACAACAGCGTCACCTTCCGGGTCTATATGTAAATCTAAACCATCTAGGGCCCATTCAAACACACACTAAAAATTTCGTCAAAATCGGTAGAGCCGTTTTTGAGTTGAATGGACAGCAATTGACGTTTATATATAGAGATTTGGCTTAAATAAACAGTTTATTTTGAAATTTACTTTCCACAATTTTTACATTTTAAAACTAACTTACTAAATTGTCTTTTGTTTGGAAATTTTATTTCAGTAGCTTGAAAGGCTTGCAATTGCATTTAGCTAAAATTCTATTTAAGGCATTATAACATATTAACATAACGCAACATATTTTAATGTATTTGGAAGTTTCCATTAAAGACAAAATTTGTAATTGTACAAATATATTAACATATCCAAAATGTATCTAGTATAGGCTTAATCTTAAGGTGATTTCTTAAAAGATTTATTTTCTATATAAAAATATGGTGATAATTTCCTTACTTTTAACTGTGGAATAACATGTGTATGTGGTAGAGAGAGAATTTTGAATAAAATAAACTGGATATTATCACTTATAAAATACTTCAATTATATATTTTGTAATTTAAATTAGGTATAATAGCGTTTGACTGCTCATCTTCCAGTGTGTAATGAAAATTTTGATATAATTAAATTAATTTTCGCCATATTTTGATACCATAAAAATGGCTAATAAATTTTTAATAATCTTTGTCTTTTTTATTTTTAATAGAGACACGTTTAATACCCTTGAAGTTCGCAAATAAAACAAATATTCATTTTATCTTCTTTAAAATTTCATGTCTAATCGTCAAAATGTCAATGTCTACGTCAACGTGTTACGTGGTAAAACCATGCTGCAGCTATATTACTGGTATAGTTGTAGCACGAATGGGTCGGCTCGACCGGGGAAGGACCACGCTCTCACAGAATAACAGCGTAAAATAGCAGCATAACTGTGCTGTGTTTCGTATGGTGAGTGTAGAGAACCGGAGACCCTTTTTATTGGAAATGAGGCATTCCATCTTAGTCCTCACGGGTGACAACGCATCTGCATTTTGATTCGTAATCGAGGATAGATGTAGATGTCTATGGGCCACAGCAACCACTTACCGTCAGGTGGCTCTTTTTTTGAAGGTTCCTAAGTCGTATCGGTCCGGAAAATTCGCTGGTGGTAATTGATGTAAGCAAAATTGATTGAGGTAAGTTGTGCGAGGGAGAAAACTTCTAAATCGCACAGTGGTGGACCGCCAATCATCCAGATGGTATGGATGGTAACGCGAGTTTTGTCGCGATGTGCGATGGTGAAATTGAGCGGCTGGAATTAGTCCGAACAATTCCTCAGAGCACTCCCCGTGATAGATGCGATAAAAGACGCAAAGAGATGCAACATCTCTACACAGTGCCAGTGTATCGAGCCGATCAGAAAGAACTCGGTCGTCGACGATTCGAACCGCTCTGCGCTGGATGCGGTCAAGTGGAAGGAGCTGGCACTGGGGTGCCCCGGCCCAGAGATGAGAACAGTATTCCATGTGGGGCCGAACTTGCGCTTTGTAAAGTTGCAAGCGATGTGCCGGCATGAAACACTGTCTTGCTCTGCTGAGCACGCCAAGCTTTTTAGAGGCCAATTTGGCCTTTCCTTCCAAGTGACCACGAAACTGCACACTATTCGATATGTCGACGCCAAGGATTCCGATGCTAGCTGAGGCAGCAAGGGGAGTGCCTTGAAACTGAGGAGATACGACAAAGGGGTTCTTTTTAGCGGAAAACGCGCAAACTTGTGTCTTCTGGGGATTGAACTGGACTAGATTTAGTCGCTCCTAATCCGAGACTTTGTTAAGCAAAGACTCGACTTCAGACACAAGTTTGTCCCGGTACTCGGCGACGTTTTCCCAAAAATATTGGCACGGCCGGTATATAAGGCATCACCAGTGCTGTCGTCCGCATAGCAATGAATGCTACCAGTTAGCAACATATCATTGATATGCAGAAGAAACAGCGTTGGTGATAGCACACAGCATTGTGGAACACCAGCGTTAATAGGCTTGTAGTCAGACCATGCACCGTCTACAACGACCTTGATGCTCCGATCTGCAAGGAAGCTGGTGATCCAATTGCACAATTTTCCGGGAAGCCCATAGGAAGGGAGCTTCGAAAGAAGCGCTTTGTGCCAAACCCGATCGAAGGCCTTCGCAATGTCGAAACTAACGGCCAACGCCTCCCCCTTGAACTCTACTGCCTCCGCTCATCTATGGGTCAGGTAGACCAGAAGATCACCAGCTGATCGACCCCGACGAAAACCGTATCGGCGGTCACTAATCAGCTGGTGATCCTCAAGGTACCTCATGAGCTGGCAGTTTATAATGGATACCATTATTTTGGAGAACAAGGAGGTGATGGCGATAGGCCTGTAGTTGGACGGGTCTGAGCGGTCGCCTTTTTTAGGGATCGGGTGGACCAAAGCTGTATTCCATGAATTAGGGACTACGCCTTGGGAGTAGGAGTACCAGAAAAGACGCGTTAAAACCGGTGCGAACTCCAGAGCACACGTCTTCAGTGGGAGGGACTCCATCGGGCCCACTCGACTTGCTGACGTGCAGGAAGAAGAGTGCTTTACCGCACATTCGGCATGGAGCACTCACATCGCGGGATGGTCGGCGGTGTGTTTCCCCCGTCATCTAGAGTCGAGTTGGACGCAAAGAGAGAGCTCAACAGATCGGCTTTCTCCTTTGGGGCATGGGCCAGTGAGTCGTCCTCTCTGTGCAGAGATAGAAGAGATGGCTGACAGAAGTTCCCTTGGACAGTCTTGGCGAGAGACCAGAATGCACGGGTTCCCGAAGGAAGGCGAACTAGCTTCTCGCCAATTCTGCCGATGTGCTCAGACCTTGCCTTGGCAATGACGCTTTTGAAGGACCTGGAGGCGGAATTATACTTCTTTTTAAGTGCGCTGGTGTTTACATCCCGAGACGTTGATGTGTCAGCCCAGGCCCGGTAGCACTCCTGCTTATAGCGTGATGCTATTTTACAGGAGCGACCAAACTATGGCTGGGATCTGCCTCCGATGGGCACCTGAGAGGATGGAATAAAAAGTTCCATACCCTGAAGTACCACATCAGCAACAACGCTGAGATTTTCCGGCGAGAAGCAAACCCGCCCCCAAGGGTAGGATGCAAAAAAAGACCGTATCCCGTCCCAATCGGCTGACCTATAGTGCCAAACACGGCGGCAAGCTGCAGATCGCAACTGCGATTGGGGCGTGAGTGGCACCGTACTCCGGATCAGACAATGGTCCGAAGAGCCCAGAGGGGCATCGACGGAGACCTGATATCCGTCCGGATGAGAGGTCAGCAGAAGGTCCAACAGGGAAGGTACATGGTCTTCCACATCTGGGATCCGCGAAGGCGAAGTAATCAGTTGTGTTAGACTATATGCCAAAGCAAAGCCATAGACAGATCTACCCGCATGATCGGTTAAACGTGAACCAAGCCATTCAGCGTGGTGGGCGTTAAAATCACCGAGTATCACGATCTCTGCGGATGGGACCTGTTGTAGCACGGAGTCTGCAGCCATTTGGACGTGGTCGATGAGTCGGTCTGTGTCGGCATTACTCTATGGGACCTATAGAGGCACCCGTAGACGTGGGGATGGTCGTCGCTATCTACACGCAGCCAGAGGATGGACAGGTCCGTACCTTCAAGACTGCCGAGGCTTCGAAAACAGATGTCCTCTCTGACGTATACGCAAACTCCAGCCCGGGGCACAAAGGAGTGTTCCAATTTGTACCCCGGGTAGGAGAGATATGAAGTATCAGCCGGAGAGGACACCTGAGTCTCGGTTAAAAAGAGCAAGGCCGGCTTCGCCGTCTCTAGATGGTAATGTTTGTTCAAAAACCTAAAAATTCTGTTTGTTGATCAAAAACCTGAACTTGTTTTGATTTAAGATATAATTAAAGTTTGCGGTTTACCGCGGGCCGAGGCTTGTTATTGTGTAACTAGGTAAGTGTACAGTGTTCTGGAACGGTATTTTTACACGTACGCCGACTAATCGGTCTTAGGTGAAATTCGTATATTTCAAAAATAATAATTACGAGACCCTTTTTACTGGAAACGAGGCATTCCATCTTAGTCCTCACGGGTGGCAACGCATCTGCATTTTGATTCGCAAACGAGGATAAATATAAATGTCTATGGGCCACAGCAACCACTTATTGTTGACTGTGTGCTCGTTTGTCACCCTATACTATAAAAAAAAATTTGAATGGTACTTATAACATAGCCACGTGGCTTAGGTAAGGAAGGTAATAGAAATCGACTACTGAAATAAAAACTAATACTAAATCTAAAATGCATAATATAATAAAGTCACGTTATAAGTCGTTCTAATGTTCCAAGTCGGTATCTAACGTTATAAACATGACAAAGTTACACGATGATTTTTCACTGTAACATTTTTATAACCGGAACGATGGTTATGGTTGTTTTAAAAATAACACTTCCCCAAGTCTAGTCGCCTCGGGATGATATGGATATTTATACATGGCTACTGAACAGTAGTTGATAAGTTCTCAAAACATTTTATTTATCAACAACAACGTCTTGTACATATTGACGTGCCGAATGTTGACGTTTGCTAGATAAACCGATGTGACGTTGCATTGTTCTAGGAGCTGTGATGTTGCATTTACTAACGAGTGTCTGGTGGTCTTTCCCCTTTCTTTAAGTTCCTACTCCCATTCCTACGAATCCTGTTCTATGAGAAGGCAACCTTATGAGAAGGTAATGTACCTTATTTATACCCTATATTAATACCTTATGAGAAGGCGACGCACAAGTAACACTTGTTGTTTCTTGTGTCTATAGGCAGCGGTGAAATCACTTAGCCATCAGGTGACCCGCTTGCTCTTTTTGCCTCTCTTATAATATACAAAAATTAAAATAAATACCTTTAGATAATATTAGCTGAAATTGTGCCGCTGACATTTTACATAATGGTTGTAACAAACGAAAAAATTTTTTCAAGTACAGTTTGAGAACATGAGACCATTTGTATGACTTTTGAAAACGGGGCAACATGGAAACTTTTATGTTTATCTTACCTTAGTTATGTTGCTATGTCTAAAAGTAGCGATATTTAGACATAGCAACATAACTACCAATTAAAAATAATAAGTATGTATACAAATAAAAAACTCGTACCTACTTCTTAAATCAAGTTACACGACACGGGATAAGTTTTAAACACCCGACTTGCTCGCGTAAAATTCACAGCGTAGATATTCTCTTATGACACACAACCGACCCCTCAAAACGACAAGTGCCGACTTAGGCAGACTTAGGTGTGGTGCGTAAGCATCATATTAGTCTGTGGTGGTACGTAACAAAATGGCGGTCTTATGAATGTTGCCTGCATTGGATAAATTACACAAAATCTGTCTTTACTGATGCCTTTTTGTCTTACCCTGTTTTAAAGAATCAACTAGGAGATCATCAACTGTTAGCTCCAGAATATCCAGACCCGGTGATAGAGAATAGAGGGAGTCTGGTGATGATTTTATCATATTCTCTCAATTAGACCAGAGTCATTGTCTAACAATATATTTATACAGGTCCAGAAATCTAAATAATTATTATATACATTTCTTACAGGATTATGAGCAGATTAGAAACAAAAATCTAGCAGGTAGAGGAAAAAAATTGTTAATGATACCAAA